TCTCATCATAGAAAGTAAATGTTTTCCAGTAGTATCTATCTTGGTAATTCTGACACAAAATTCTTCACTGTCTTAGTGCTATGGGACTGGGCTTCAAATTTAGAATAATTCCTTGGCAAAAAAAAAAAAAAGGCACTATGAAGTTGGCTGGTTATATGTTAGGTATCACAGATGAAACAGTGGATGACTAAATTTACAGAGACCGGATTTTCAAGATTGGCTATGCCATTAAGGAAAGAAAGAAGGAAACCAATAATCATAGAATGACTACCATGTTCTGGTACTTTCAATTAAAAAATCTCATTAATATCTTTTTAACTTCGGATAAGGTGACCTCTTTATGACTCAATCTCCATAATTATAAAGTGAGGGTTACATTATATAATTTATTCTTTTATAGATATAGCGAGAGAGAGTGGGGGGAATATATACATATCTATATAAATATATATTCCTATATATATGTATACAATTCCAAATCATTTATACATAGATATCTACATGCCTCATTTCCTCACCTGCTTCAAGTATCTGGTCAAACATGAACTTGCAGGAAGGCCTACACTCACTACTATAATTATCATTCCACAGTTCACTAAGGCTCTATACATTTTTTTCCTTTATTCTCTTTGTTCATAATTTTGACAAGTTTCTATCACTATGTGAAGTTCATTAATCTTTTCTTCAGCAATGTCTACTCTATTGCTAATTCCACTGAGTTTTTATTTCAGATATTATATTTTTCAACTCCAGAGTTGCATTTGGTTCTTTTTATATTTCCCATTTCTGTCTTCAATGTGTCCAACTTTTTGTAAATACTTGAACATAGTTATAATACCTGTTTTAACATACAGGTATTTAATGTACCTGCTAATCCTATCATCTGTGTCATTTCTCAGTCTATTTGTATCAACTAGTTTTTCTCCTGGTCATGGTTTCCTGCTACTTTGTATCTCTACTAGACTTTGATTGAACGCTTGACATTGTTATCTTCAAGTTGTTACATGTCTGGATCATAGTGTATTGTATTCTTTTCAATAATGTTGGGCTATGATAGTGATCTTATTGTATTCATTTTTATAATAACAGTTACTTGCTGTTTTGTTTCCTTCAGAGGCTTGTTTATAAGCTTGTTTAAGGTAGGTGTAGGGTGGCCTTTACTCTATGAATAATTTAGCCCCACTACTGAGAAATAGCCCTTCTGAGGTCTCTACTGAATGTCCCAAAAGACCAATAAGAATTGTATACTATAGGCAGTAAGAACTTAAATGCCTTCCAGCCCTGTGTGAGTCTGGGACTCATTGAAATCACAGCTCCTAGGTCATTCTTTGGCCAACTTTGTGGAGTTTCATTCAAGGTGTGCATGTCTTACTATTCAGCAAACATTCAAGGAAAATTCTATTGCTGCTTTCTGGAGCTCTTTTTTTGCATAGCTTTCTCTCTCTCTGTCTGGAACTTTATCCCATGATTTCTAGTCATCTCTGCCTCCCTAACCTTAAATCCCTGTCTCTACAATTCAGAAAGACTACTGGGCTCAGTTTGAGATGTCCCACCCTGCTGTGTGTTCTGAAATGTGCCTTCAGCCAGAAAGCCAAGGCAATCCTAGGGCTCACATTTGTTTTCCTTCTATGAGGGATCACAGTCTTGTACTGCCTGTTGTCCAATGTCTATTAGTATTATTTATATTATTATTTTTAATCAGTATTATTTTCCCTGTGCATTTTGTCAAGTTTGTTAGTTATTTACAGCAGGAACATAAATTGAAACCCTGTTACTCCATCATGGCCAGAAACTAAAGTTCCATAATTTATAGCATTATCTACTAAAATCTACCACTATCATGTGTCATATTAGTATCTTGGTACTATTCAAAGAGTCTTAAATTAAAAAGCCTTCCATTATTTAAACTCTGTACTTATATTGCTTGAGAAGTAATAAATAAACAAAAAATGGTTTGTATTTTTTTAAAGAGTTATCATTTATGCAGTACTTTGCTTTATAGAGTTTTCATCTCCCTTACAGACATTTTCATCAAGAATTCCAAATTAAACTTGACATTTCAAAATATAGGGCAAACAGATGTCATAGCTTTTTAGAGGTTTCTTTGTTTTGAAGGATATATAGATTCTCTAGAAGATTATTTGAAATTTTGTGATAATAGATTATCTTCACGTGGAACATGCATGTATTCTGGTTTGGTGTACCCTACGTGACTGTATCACTGAAATAGTGCTATTCTGCTCTCAACACATTCCCAGCTACCAAGCATATGTTCTCCCTGTAGCCAGCTACTTAATATTGGTTAACGGAGATTGGAAGAGGAAAAGGTCTGCTTTTTATTGAATAATTAATAAGCAAAATCAAACCCAATGCGGTATCAGTGGGCTTTGGTCTTCATGTGCCAAAAATACTGTATGATGTGTTGGGGATGAACATAAGATCAACATTGGACTATAAGTTAAGAATATGAAAAAATAATAATTTTAATAAGAATTCAGGCACAAAATTAACACTAACATTTGTCTACTGTATCATGCAGTTAAAAAATAAAAATGTGTGTACTTAACGCTACTGAACTGTATACTTAAAATGGTTAAGATGATTTAAAAAAACCCAACAACCAAGAAAAGGTGTGCAGATGTACAAAAAACTATGACTGCCTTAACTCATTATAATTTATGAAGCACTATAAATAATAATTAAAACAATAACTACTTTTAGATATAGGTACAAATTCAAAGAAATCATAAAACATGTTTTTGATCTAAAAATAAGACTGTATATTTTAATTAAAAATAAAACGAACTTTTAACACTTAATTCTAAGTAAAAAAAATGTTTAGCACACAGCATTCTCAAGAAAGGAGAGAGCACCACTGCCAACTTCCCTCCAAGAGAAGTAAAAACAGTGGGTACCCAAGGGGGGAAGATATATAATTCATAAAGAACAAATGTTATACCCAGGGTTTTTTACCATCTATAAATGTTCATGGTCCCCAAACACGGAAAGCACAGGCAATTAGTTTGATAGCTGTTAACTTTTATGTGAGCTTGAGTAAGAATCTGTATTTCATGAAATACCAATGTCCTTACCTGTATGGAGAATACCTACAGAATATCTGAGGGATCTAAAGATGGGGGAACACTAAAGACAGAAAAGGAAATTATCCTCAACTCTAAAGTAAAGAACCGCAGTTCATATTTGTAATTTGAAATAATTGTTGTTTGCTTAATTTTTCATACTCTATAAATGACTAATAATGGGAAATTATGTTTTCAGCTTTTGTTATTTATTTCCTTCATTAAACACTAATACTAATTTCTTATAAAAACATAGGAAAGTATAATAAATCAAAATAATTCTCAAATAATTGATATGTGATTGATATAATGCATGTGATTGATACGATTGATACCATGCATATACAGATGCATTTCAAAATTTACGATCACAGTTTTGTAGTTGTATATCATATATTTTCATTTACATTATAAGCATTTTCCATCATCATTAATCATCCTTAAAAATTATTTTAAATCAATTATCAAGTGTGATTTCAAGAAAGGACTAAATGGTAAGGCAGGATGTCAGAATATGTGGATCATAAGCATATGAGGTAAATTTATTTTTACCAATGGACATTTATTTATTAAGAGGTGATATTTATAAACCTTTATGTAAATTACCAGTTCAAGAGACCTAAAGTCTGAAAAAACTTAAAATGGCATCTAAAGGAAATAATATCTAATTTTATAATCAAAACTCAACACAAATCACAGATAATCTTTCTATGATACAAAACTAATCATAGGCATTTTTGTCAATTGATAAAGAAAATCTCAAAGTAAAAGACTGGTGGATATGGACAGGCGACAGTCTAATGATTCCACACAATAAACATAATGTCATATTTTAGGAAAAGTAATTGAGCAAAGAATAATAATACTTATGTATAAAACGCTACAAATATTAAACATTTTTGTTGGTGGTGAATGATAAAAAACAACACTCTTCCTCTCAGACCACAAATAAATATTCCTCCTTGTGTGTATGATCATATTTTAAATTCCTTAAAGGTAGGGATCATGTCTTGTTAATATTTTTGCCATCAATTTCACTTAGAAAATAGTCTTGCCTATAATAGACATTTAATAAGTGGTTTTGACTTACTGAAAACATAAAATTTTTATCAATATGGTTGGGAATATCTGAGTTATAAGAAATATAACGCTGAACATCTAAGAATGTAGAATGCCCTGAAGAAAGGTGGCCCATCACCATAAAAATTAGAGGTTAAAGAGAAAAACATCACTTAAAATAAATTATATATAATAAGAATAATTTTTCTTATATATTGACAAATTTTAGTTTATTAAAACACAAAAGAAAATAAAGAAATTACTTTGTAGAAGAATAGTTATGCTTTATATTGCATAGATAATCTAACCGAGAACAAGAGAGAAAGGGGAGGAAAGAATATTGGGATGTAATGTGGTTTTTAAGAATTCACTTAAAGAAGAAACATACTATTGAGAGACAATTTTCCATGGGTCTCTTGTGTCTCTGCATATCTTCAAGTAGAGTCAGTGATGGCCTTTGTTCTCCACTGTGTTTTCAAGGATATATGTATAGCAAACAGCCTCAGAAGACAGAGGTATCATCCTTATAGTTTGCTTATAGCCTTGCACAGAAGACATAGTGCCTCCTGCTGGAGAAAAGGGCAGGAATGATTTCTATCCATTATAAAAAGTTTAGGTTCCCTAAACTCAGGGCACCTCTCCTGTAATCTAATCCACTAGAAATAGGTGTCAACCTGGCCACCCTGTGCTAACACTAGAAAATGCTAATACTCTGACTACTGCTAATGCTATGGGTAACAAAGTCCTTTGTCTCTGGTCCCAGGCGTCTCATGTCTTCAGCTGGCATCCATGAAATTGTGCCTTGCTAACTTGCTAGCTCAGAGGTAAAGTCACTGTCCCTTTACAGTTATTAACACATACCTGTTATTGTTTTTGTTTTTATTGGGCTACTGGCATACTCAGAGGCCTGATACGATTGCTGCTTTGCGAAGGGTGCACTTCCAACAGACACCTCATCTTCTTTCCTTCTACTAATTGGCATAACAAATGGAACAGCTACCACAGACTGCTAGAAAGACCCAAAATGAAAAACTGAATTAGTCACATTTTTTAAACACCGAAGTTTAAACATGGTATCATTGAAGATAGTCCTCAACAGTTGGGGTTGAGACTTTATTATTTTAAATCAGTCCATCTCTCCCTCCCTGACTCCCTTTATCTCTCCCTCTCCCCCATCTCTGTCTCTCTCTCTCTCTCACTCACACATATACACAAACACATACACATGGATGCTTACCAACTTGAATTTTAAATTAAAATTCTATGTGAAAACCAAGAGAGCCTGGAAGTACTCAGTAAACATAAATTTTAGTAAGAGGTATAAAGATAATATGGAAAGGGCATATCAAAACTAAAA